CAAAGGCCACCCAACCGCAAGTACCAAACCAAGGAAGCAAAGCAGAAGAAACAAAGGATACAGTACCACCAAGTACTTACCACAGGCCAATGTATATCGCATGTAGTAAGACGGGCACCGTCCGAGGGCGGGCCGGGCGGGCAAAAAGAAGATTTCATGCATGCTGCGGCTGCATGAAAGAGCATGCCTGCTGAGCAAAGTGGCTGCTACGCAACAATCAGCAAGGATTCTGTTAAAGCGTGCATAAGCTTGGCAAACAGGGTTGAGTAAAACACAACAACCCACTAGGTGCTAATGCAAACAGCACTACTAATCACTAGTCACTACTATAGTTACTAGGGAGGAGGAGGGAGTGGAGTGTCGGATCTTAAGTCTTCCGTGGGCCTATAATAGACCACTTCTGCACCTGCAAGCTGAGTGGACGGACAGCATTGCATTACTGAGTGAAACTCTCGTGTACACCAAAATCTGCTAAGCCTGGGCTGCCACAGTGAAAGAAAACGTTCCCAGTATTGAACATGCTCAGACCCGATGCCCGATGCAGTTTAAACCTGCCTTCGCAACAGTGCCCGACTATGACCATGCGAAATACTTGTGGTGTTTGGACCAAGTACCCTCTGTGTTCGCATTTGCTCGGCATGCCCCTGCAGTATCCGGCAGTCTGATCTGGTGAGCTGTAGACTGTAGTGGGTTCGGATGCAGGTCTGTTCGGACTGGCGCTGGAGCTTGTGTGCAATTGGTGTAGCGCTGGGGCCGCTGGGTTTTCTCGCAGACCCGTGCTGGCGATTCGTGGGCCACGCCCCGGGCCCAAAGCATTGCTTGAAAGCTGGCACCGTCCGGGCCCGGGCACCTACACCGCAACGGAGGCCCTCGAAGCGGATCGGCTCCCGACGCGGCCCACGTGGCAGTCGTGCGCCTGGGCCCAGGTGGCCGAAGAGCGAAGCTCCGAACGCTGCTGCGGAAGCAAGGAGATGTGCTCCAGCAGCCCCTGCCTTCGTGCCAGGGCTCGTGCGCCCGGAGGTCATCTATGTTGAGACGCTTATGGCATCAGAGGATGTGTTTCTAGTAAACCGGGACTCGAACCTCGAGGAGGTCGCGCGTTGGATTCGAAACGGAGGTCACGCGCTCGTGGTCGATCACTGGCGTGATTTGGAAAGATGTCGGGCTGCTGTCCTCAAGCCACTCAAGAAAGCTGCTGCAAGCGCAAAGGAAGCGGAAAGACAGCGCACTCTGAAAAAGCAGCTATCGGATCGACTGCTGGGTCAGGTGGCTGAGGGGCGCATCGCTCTGCAAGGTGCTCCCCGTGCTGACTTCTTGAGGACATTGCAGCCAGAGCAATTTGTGCACTTGTAGTCAGAGCATGTTAACTTAAGGGTTTCATGTGCTGCGGCTTGGGACTAAAGGCATGGAGAAACATTTCGCACGGCCGAGGTACGGTGATCTCTTTTCAGACGGGCACCGGTTTGCGTTGCCGTCGGGCGTGCTGATGGGGCTGGCCAATGCCTGGCAGTATTTCGAAGGAGGTGTGCGATTCCCTTTCCTTGCGCCGCCGGTGCTTGCTGGACCAGTGCGGCCCTTCTATGGCGTTTACGCCTACCCCCATCCTGTGACACACTTCGACATGCTGATCGAGTGGCTACGGAACTCCAGCGACAGCCGCACTTTACAAAGTGCTTTAGATGTCGGTACAGGCTGTGGCGTGGTGGCTTTGATGCTCCGACAAATCGCTGGCATTCCAGATGTCGTTGCCACTGACGTGAGTCCCAATGCCGTGTATGGCGCACGGGAAGAACTGAAGCGCCAGGGCCTTGATGATGTCGAGGTTCTGTGTTCGGATCTTTTCACAGGCATGGATCGCAAGTTTGACCTAGTGGTGTTTAACCCACCTTGGCTACCGCTGCCCCAGGCTACTGCAAACGAGCCTCCCAGGACTGTTCTGGACTTAGGCAATTTTTATTCCCCGGACCTTTTCCGGCGCTTCTTCGACGGCTTACCCAGAGTGCTCAATTCCGACGGTCGGGCCGTGCTTCTTTTCTCCAATCACGCAGAAATCCGGGGCTATGTGGACCAGCACCCCTTCAAGGCAGTGATGGATTGTGGCGATCTCCGAGTTGAGAAGGTTCTCTCGCGAGACTTCGACGTCGAAGGGAGGCGGAGGCGAACAGGACGGCCGCAGGTGAAGCCCAGCCTGGAACCGGCTGCAGAGCTTTGGGAGTTGCGGCTAAAAGGTAATTAAGTAAGGGAGGGCTCAGCTACACGCAGGGGATGCAGGCAACGATCAAATCTACCGACCCAGTATGGCAACAATTGTATTGACATCCTTAAGCAACCCATGGAAAAGTCTGCGCACTGTTGAGTACGTCAAGCGCTTCAGGCACTTTGTCCAACATCTATTTTAGCTGCCAAGGGGTGCAGCAGCTTTGAAATACGCTGACAGCTGATAGCAGACGAAGACATCAGGGGGCACATCCGGCCGAATAGAATTGTCTCGCGCCCCATCGCCCAGGCATTCGTCGTTTCGGAGCCGCTGCAAGTGCCCGTTCTGCCGGGCCACGTGCCGCTGTTCTCAGCCAAGGCATCTCTTCCTTTGCCATTGCCTTTCTTGTCGTCTTTCGTCCTTTTCGGAGGACCACCAGAAGCAGATGGCCACGGCGGTGCTCAGCATCGGCCGCCTCTTCTCTGCCGAGGCGCAGGCCTGGCCCGCACAGAACCGGCGGCCCTCCGCGAAATCTTCACGACTTAGGGCTCGAAGCCATTGCTGTTCTCGATGCGGCAGTCCAGCGGTGCTGAGTACTTGACTATATAATGGACTACCCTCCAGCCAGGACCACGAATTTGTGAGCCAATCGTCAGGCTTTGATGGCCCGCAGCCTCGTTCAGCGGATCGTTTCACACCTGCGTCAGCCTCCAGGCCATGGCCGAGAGCTGCAGAGTCACAGAATCATTCCGTGAAGATCTGATTCTTTGGTTCCGTGTGATTGGCCCAAATCCGAAAAACTCAATCTGTCCATGTGATGGCTTGCGGAGGTGTCAGCTTATGGTGTGTTTGTGAACACAACCTCGCTTGTCTTCTGAACGTATGTTCCCACATGTTTTGGCAAGGTGCGGATGTCGACGCACAGCAAGCCTGGGATGCCCTGGATGCCCTGAAGCAGCTTGGACCATGCTATCCCTGAGCCCTCAATCAAGCAATGGTCCAAGCTACTTTTGCCGAGGCCCTCAAGGGGCTGGTCTGCGGCAGCTGGTGTTCCTCAGGCTTCTGGTCCGCATTGATCTTCTTAAACGTTCTTGTACACCACTTCGAGTCAAATCTAGTGCAGAGGGAGTGCGGGCTTGGAAGAGCTCTCGTGCTGCTCAATACTATTGTCACTACTTCAACACAACAATGACGACTACTCCTGTGGCTGCTACTACTGCTGCTGCTGCTGCTACGAAGCTACTTCTCCCTATTACGTACTGCTGCTGCTACTGCCACTTGTACTGTTCCTGCTACTGATTCTACTACGACAACGACGACGGGCTGGTAATCACTTCTTCGGATGAGGCTAAGCTCAATATTCCAGTATTGTCGGCAGTGATGCTGTTCCAGATCGTGTGCAGAACTGTCCTTGCTGTCACTGTAGGGACTCGCATGGATCGATTCAGATGGAAGGCCGATACCTGCAGGCCCTGAATCCAACTGCAGTTCAGGCTAGAAGCCAGTCGTAGCCTGCGTGCCCAGAGTGCAACGTAGAACCACGGACTAGATCGTATGCCAGATCGACAGATATGCGCATACTCGAACAGTTCGGAAAAGACTTGAATGGCATCGGTTCGATGTCGCCTTGGGTGTGCTGTCTGAGGCCTTCGCCTCGGTGGACAGTCAGGGACGGACCCTCGCCAGTGACATCCAGTGATGATTTGTTCTTGGTTCTCAATGATGCTGTTCAGGCTGCCACGACAAGTGCGTCTGTGTCTTCTAATTAATCTAATTTTCCGCATTTGCCCGTACTCGCCCCCACGGCTAGAGCGCAAGCAATCGCGTTGGCCGGCGGTTACATCGTCGTTTTCGCAATGCTGCGTTTGTTCTACGAACCCCCCCCCCCCCAACCCTGACCCCGGAACTCGCCCCAAAACACCTTGAGAGGGACGGGATGGGGCTGATCCATGCTATGTTGCCTTCGATAGAATTTGATCCCCAAGCCATGCCTGAATACCAGACCCTGACGGATTTCTGAGGGATGGCCAGTTGGTTTGACACTCTCTCCGCTCAATCCATTCTGGTTGTTGAGAGACCTCTTGACCAGCTTGCATGCCCTTCAGGCCCGTCACAGAGAGTGCACGACACGTCGCTCTGTATGCTCTGTCAGCTCTAGGCGGAAAAGATGCGTGGAACAAGTACCAACTCCACTTGATAAGGACAGCCCTTCGCCTCGCCGTCGAGGGCGGCCATCTGAATTGCGTGCAACCCCTCATTGAGGCTTCCGAAGGGGCACCCAATCTTCTTGAGAGTCTCCGGCACATCAGTCGACTCACCACTATGCTGAAAATCTGCCTGTGGTTTGCAGAAGAGGTCAAGCAGGGGAAGGAAGCTGCCAGCATGCGAGTCCGCCGACATGCCTCGACCCGACACCTTCAGCCTTATCTGTGCGATTCCCCACTTAGGAGATCCCATGATTCACTGTCGCTTCTCAGCCGCGTTCCAGCCCTTGAATCACAAGTCCGGACATTTTTCAAGTCCGCGAGCTACGCATTCTTGCTGTGACTGCCGTGATTGGAGTCAGTTGCCTCTTTGCAGCACACCTGTGCTGCTCGCTCGTGGTTTGCAGATTTGAAACTAGTACAAAAAACCACAGCTGCTTTTTTGTGCCACATGGAGCCACTCAGTGAGAGGTCCCTGCACGTAGAACCGGAGGTGCTTCAAGCAAGCTCTACCTTAGCGGCTTATATTTCTGTCAATTCCCTGCAGGCATGCTGCAGTCTTCGTTCTGTGACCGAGGACTATGCAGATTGCACACTGAATGTCTTGCATGAACAGCGCAGTGTTCTTGCGAGTTTCTCCTTGTGGGGCACGGTGGTTCAGTACCAAGAGTATTGTGGGACTGTCACTGGGGATCAGGGGCTTGAAAGCGCATGGGACCATGAATTTGTGGACACGCTACTAGTACAAAATGGGCAGAAGCGGGTCAAGATTCCCAAGATGGCCTTGAAGAGACGGCACGAGGGCAGCATGCAGCAGAGCACCAAGAAGGCGAGGTTCTCGAACACTCGCGAGTGCTTTTAGATGAGCATGTTGCTTCCACAGGCGACGTGCGGAGCCCTAGTCCAACAGATGACCATTCTTATTCTTTAGTTGACTTTTCAAGAGGCGGGCCCTGACCAATCTATAACCAAGGAGCTCTTCGTCGTCTTCTCACCAGATCGTAGCTTTAATCCAAGGCATTGAAGCAGAACATCTCTAGCGATCTCTTTTTTTGCGGCGATCTGACCGGCGGCAGTTATGCAGAAAGTTTGACTGGCAAGACTTGAAGAGTGCAGTCATGCGGGCCTTGTCCCGGCGTCGAGGTAGAAATGTGGAAATAGGACGAACCAACGGCCGTTGTAAAGAGAAGTCAGTTGACAAAACACATGCCAGCTAGCAGTTGGCTTCGGGCATCGTTTCAGTTTGTCGTGTCATGCTCGGTTTTGACCGAGCCTAACTTTACATCCGGATTGCCAACCGTAGCAAGTAGATTCTTGTATTTTTCGATATCCAAAAAGTCCTTCAAGTTCCTGGTGCCTCTTCTGTGAATCGATCCACATCAGTTTTCTCAGTCGAAGGCCTGCAACAATATGGCAGAACAGGAGTGTTTCGAAGGCGAACACAATCCAGGCCAGGAAGCACCAGTTTTTGTCAATGTCCCTCGCCACGTTTGACTGCTTGGGTCTTTACTGGAGGGCCAACCGGTTGCACATTCATCTTGATTTTACTCGCACGCTACGAAGCCCGAATTGGGCACACCCGGAAGTTCACAAAATCACCACACTGCAAAGGGGCGCTTTTCTGGCCTGTGCTGATCGTCACAGCACAATCAAAGCAGCATTTGCACCGCTTCAGCATCCTTTGGGGACGATCATCCTTCTCAACTTCTCAATGCTCTTGAACTCATTGCCAGGACCTGCGGTCACCCCTGACTGCGGCAATCGAGCACTGCTGCGGCCAGGCGTGGATTCGCCCAGAGACGACACATTGCTCTGGCTTGTTGTGAAAGGTTAGCGATTTCAGGGGAAGCGGGGATCATTTCCTGTTTAGAAGAGTCTCGCAGATCCCCCACAGCGCGCCGATGTTTGCAGGAGCTTCTGCGTCTGGACAGCAACATGTTGGGCCTCAACAAAGACCAGCTGCGACTTGCAGGCCTCCGGGCCTCCGGAACGGAAGTGGGGCCCAAATGTTGAGGTTTCTCACACTTGAAGCTTAGCGGTCCCTGAAGAACAAAGAAGGATGCCTAGAGCTGTGCCCGGATTTCCCTTGACCGAAGTGGCAGTCTCATCCGGAGCTGCTGTGCCAGCGATCCCGAGCAGTGCAAGGAAACCCCGACGATGCACGAAGAGCTCCGAGCATGCAGACCATATATCATGTCCAAGAGCTTGGTCAACAAAGGGGCACCACGTGGACACGGGGAGCCAAGAGACTGCCAAGAGGGGGTCCGCAAGCCTGAGCGTCGCAAGCAGTGAGAAAGTGCACTGGATCACAACAGCTCCGGACTGTCTCCTTACAGGATGTGCAACATGTGACATGTGGGATAACGGTGCGAAGAGGACTGGCGATGCGATGCATGTGCGTACTCGGACAAATTTCAGAAGATCAGTCTGCACCAAATTATAAACCCGCTGAAGCAGCGTGGTAGATGTTGGTTTTCGACCCTGCAGAGCCTTCACTGCCACTCACAGAAAGCCGGAGCGGAGATGCACAGATACTGTAGAGCCATGGTGACGGATGATGCAGGCTCGAAGCTGGCTCAAAGCCCCCTGACACAGGACAGCTTTGCAAGATCGTGAGTGCCAAATCTGTTGGACAGCTTGATGCCGCGGGCTCAGGGAAGGGAGGTCCTTTGGCCTCGGAGGGTCGCCTTTTATGCACCTAGCGGAACCAGCATCATGTCACGCCTAGCTAAACCGGACTGTGATCGGTCCAAGTCTCCACAGCAGAACGGAGCATGAAGCTGATCCTCAGCTCGTCGAGCGATTTCAACCTGTCATGCAAGGACATTGCATCGC